GGAGCCCGATGTGGGACTCGATCCCAGGACCCTGGGATCATGACCTGAGCCGAAGGCAGACGCTTAACCATCTGAGCCACCCAGGCGCCCTAAATGGCAATATTCTTACTCCAATTTTTTCACTACTCCATTCTGTCCATTGTGGATGCGTCTTCCTAAAAGCCCTGTTTCAACATATTGCTGTCCTACTCAAGACAGAAAGTGGCCCTGTGACTCCTGGTGAATCAAGTCCAAATGGCTCCATCTGTTCATGGCCCTTCTGACCCCACCTGAGTCCTTGCCCTTAGACTCATCTTCTCACTTATTCTCTCCTTTGTGCCTCTATCCCTGCCATTCTTTCCATCTCCAGGAAACCAATGCCCTCCTGTCAGCCTAGTTATCTCCTTCCCATTGGTGAGACTCTGTCCACCTTGACCCACAAGGGTGTTCACGAAGCCTGAAAAATCTGTCGCATAGACTGTCCCTCCTTGATGGTATACCGTGGCCCCTTACTCTGCCCTGGACCTTTGCATATGGTAGTGTGTACCTTTCTGTCCGCTAATAGTTGCATGTATCTGTCTTCATCTTTGGTCATATCTTCTGGTTCTCCCAAATTGAGTTGGCCCACCCGCCATTGAGAACATCGTGGCTGAGAGGATCAAAAGTGGGGGGACAAAAAGGTAGAGCTACTGCTACCCCCTCAGCACCTGTGTGCAAATTAAAGAAAGGCACCCACCCGTCCTGTGAATCGGTGCCCATCTTGGCATGCAGATCAAGGGCTGGATTTCAGCCTTCACCCCCCGTTTGTGCAGTGAGCAACCTCCACAACCATATGTGGTGGTGCTAGGGGCAGGGCTTAGCACGATGCATGTCACCCCACCTCTGTACTGCCTTGTCCCCAGGGCCTGAAGGCCAACATGACACGTCTTTACCAGCTGATGACGGAAGCACAGTTTTCCCGCTGCTCCAAACCCGCCAAGTATAAGAAGCTGCTGTTTGCACTCTGCTTCTTCCATTCTGTGTTGCTGGAACGCAAAAAGTTCCTGCAGCTTGGCTGGAACATTATCTATGGCTTCAATGACTCCGACTTTGAGGTTTGTACCAACGGGGGTCCGTCAGCCCAGCCCTCTCTCCTTACACCGCCTGCCCCGTGGGCTCCCCTGCGGGAAGAGCCGCTGACAGGAAGCCCCGTGGGAGGACTCCCTGCCCTAACTGTGTGTGGGGGCGGGGCCGGCACCGTGCACAGGTGTCCGAGAACTTGCTGAGTCTCTATCTGGATGAGTACGAGGAGACGCCGTGGGACGCACTCAAGTACCTCATTGCCGGTGTCAACTACGGTGGGCACGTCACGGACGACTGGGACCGGCGCCTGCTCAGCACCTACATCAACGACTATTTCTGTGACCAGTCTCTGTCGACCCCCTTTTACCGGTGAGGGGGAGGGGGCGCTGAACAGGGGGCCAGAGGACACCGGCAGACCAGGGGGCAGTGGGAGTGTTTGAGGAGAGGCGAGGAGACTGGCAGGAGGCAGAGCCTGTGGGGTCGGGGAAGGGAGAGGAGCAGGGAGCGGGATGAAGGGGCCACGCATAGTGACTGGGGTCTCGGCCTGGCCCTGAGGCCCCGGAGGCCCACAGCGTGGTGATAATTACGCTGTGGGCTCCAGGTTGTCAGTACTGGAGGCTTATTTCATCCCCAAAGATGGCAGCCTGGCCTCTTACAAGGAGTACATCAGCATGTTGCCCAGCATGGACCCCCCTGAGGCCTTTGGCCAGCACCCCAATGCGGATGTGGCCTCCCAGATCACTGAGGCACGAACTCTCTTTGAGACTCTGCTTTCCCTGCAACCCCAGATTACACCCACCAGGGCTGGAGGCCAGAGCCGGGAAGAGAAGGTAAGAGCAGGCCGGCGGCTGGGGGAGGGCCAGCAAGGAGGCCGAGAGGCCGCCCCTCAGAGCTCCCGCCGCGCCAGGTCCTCGAGTTGGCTGCTGACGTGAAACAGAAGATCCCTGAAATGATCGACTATGAGGGGACCCGAAAACTGCTGGCCATGGACCCCTCCCCCCTCAACGTGGTCCTTCTGCAGGAGATTCAGAGATACAACAAGCTTATGGAGACCATCCTGTAAGATGGAGAGGGGCTCTGTGTCTCATGGGGTGGGGGCAAGAGGAAAGGGCTTCCCCCCCGCCACCCCCCCTGCCCCCCGGGGATGGCTCTGCCAAGCCCCTCCCGTCTCTAAGCTCCCACCTTACCCTGCTCAGGTCCTCACTGACAGACCTCGAAAAAGGCATTCAGGGCCTCATCGTCATGTCTACGAGCCTGGAAGAGATTTTCAATTGCATCTTCGATGCCCATGTCCCTCCACTCTGGGGAAAGGCAAGCTTGCATCGCTCTTGAACCCCTGTGCCCTCCATCTCCTGGTTCTGGGAGGCATATGGCAAAATGCAGTGAGCCTGGGGCTTTGGAGCCAGATAGAGTCAAGGCAGAGATCTGGCTCTGCTATTCACAGACTGGCTTTGCACCGATTAACCTAGGACCTTAGGGCAAGTTCCTAACCTCCGCCAAGGACGTTTCAAGGATTCTCAGTACTGTGCGTAACTCTTAGTGGGTGCTTCATTAAGGGTAACTGGTTAATATTGCTGTTGCCCTGGTTGTTAAATAGCTGTCGTTTCATGCTTCTTTCCTGGGAGCTGGCCTTCGGAGAGCTTGGCCCAACTGCAGCTGGGGAACGGGCTGGCACCACAGAGATTCTAGATCCCATGGCTGCTCCAGGGGCTCAAAACGGAGATTTGAATGCATGAATCAATGAGAGCATAAACACAGCCTGCCTCCTCCTCCTCCAGGCTTATCCCTCACAAAAGCCACTGGCTTCGTGGACCCGGGACCTGGCCATGCGCGTGGAGCAGTTTGAGCTGTGGGCCAAACGTGCCCGGCCTCCTGTGATCTTCTGGCTGTCCGGCTTCACCTTTCCCACGGGCTTCCTCACTGCTCTGCTGCAGTCCTCAGCTCGCCAAAACAACGTGAGTGCTGGGGGCATGGGTGTGCTCTCCTCTTTGGGGGTCCTCCCTTACGCTCCCCTTGAACCCCCAGATTCCAGTGGACAACCTCTCTTGGGAGTTCATTGTTTCCACCGTGGACGACAGCAACCTAGTGTATCCACCCAAGGTGGGAGCACAGGCGGGTCTGGTGGGGGAGGTCAGGGGTGCCGGCAGCGGCACGTCTCCACGTCCCCCCCACCCTGCCCCTGTGTCTTCCCAGGACGGCGTCTGGGTCCGTGGCCTGTACCTGGAGGGCGCCGGCTGGGACAGGAAGAACTCCTGCTTGGCGGAGGCGGAGCCCATGCAGCTTGTCTGCCTCATGCCCACGATCCACTTCAGGCCTACGGAGAGTCGCAAGAAGAGCGCCAAGGGTGGGCTGGCTCCCTCCGCCCTGCCGTCCCCATCCTTAGTTTGGATCCTCACCCATCCCGGGCTCCACGCGTCCCCCACACCTGCTCCTGACCTGCTCTCCCAGAGGCTCCCGGCCCTGACTCCTCCTCTCCTTCCCCCAGGCATGTACTCCTGCCCCTGCTATTACTATCCCGACCGGGCGGGCAGCGCAGACCGAGCCTCCTTTGTCATCAGCATCGACCTGCGGTCCGGGACCATGACACCTGATCACTGGATCAAGAGGGGCACTGCTCTACTCATGAGCCTGGACAGCTGAGAAGGCCGCCTCTTCCTCCCCGCTTGAGGGAGGGTCGGGCACTCTAGGGACCGAGGCTGGCCTTAACTGGGACCACATAATGGGGGCCTGGAGACAGCTAGGTGTGCTAGAGCAATAAAACACCCTCAACCGTAAGCCCTGACGGAGCCTCTCAATGGGGTGCTGGGGGTCTGGGGAAGTGGGAGGCCGGGAGAGGAAGGGGGCGTGGCCTTGAACGAGAGGCAGGGCGGTGGGACCTAGAACGCGAGAGGCTAAATTTCGGGGCTGGGCCTGAGCGGGTGGGGCGGGGCTTACTTTGGAAAGGCGCGTGATCCGAACGGAATAAGGGTTTGTCAGGCAGGGATCGGGGCTGGACCCGGTACGTTGTACCCCGAACCCGGCACCCCGCATCCGGCATCCTAAACTCGGCACCTGCGCTGAGGCGAGTGGGACCGGCAGAAGGCGGGGCGGGGCCCGAGAGAGGGACTCTCGGCGCGAGGAGGGGCGGGACCATGGGGAAGGGGGCGGGGCTGGGGCGCAGGGGGGGCGGTGTTTGTGTTGGAAAATCCAACTGCGCCACGGGGCGGAGCGGCCCCCCCGGCCCTGGCCTGGGAGAGGGGGGGCCCGCTCGACCCCCTGGGAGACCTCGGGGAGCCTGAGCACCTGGGACACCCCAGAACCAGGTAACGGGGAGCTGCGAGGGCGTCTGAAAGAGGGAAACCCATCTCCGCGCAGGGGGGCGGGACGCCTGAGTCTCCGGACCGGTAGAGCTGGGGATGGACGTCTGGGTCTCGGCAAAGGCACTGGAAAGAAGACTGGGGCGCAGGACGCCAGGGTTCCCTAGAAGAGTGCGGGGCGGGGCGGGGTGGGGGAAGAGCGGGGAGGCAGAAGACTTGGGGGCTCGGATGTCAAGAGGGGCCTGAAAGGGCTCCCAGTCCCCCTTGGGCTGGGATTCCCCTCCCCGACCCGGGGGCGGGGCGGGGCGCGGCGGCCCCTGACAGAAGGACAGGACTGAAGGTCAGAGTCCGCGGCTGGGCCAGTGCGCCGGCCCCCTGAGGTCGGCTTGGCCGGGCAGGCAAGGGTCTCCGGGCCCGGGGGCCCCTTCGGGTGTCCCTCCAGTGCTCCGCAAGCCGTGTGTGTCGCCTCAGCCTGGCCCCTCAGGCCGGTAGCGCCGGCAGCCAGCCTCCCTGCGGCAGCCTTCTCCTCCCGTCCACTCCGCCGCACCCCGCTAGCCCGTCCATCCCGGCTCCGACCCCGCTCGGCCGCTCGTCGCCCTCGCCCGGCCGGGGCCCGGCTCCGTGCGGACCTTCCCAGCGCAGCCACGAGATGGCGAGGGCGAGACGCGCAGCCCGAGCCGCGGGAGCCGGGTGGGCGCTGTGGCCGGGAGGGCGGCCGAAGCCCCCCCGCCCGGCCCGAGAGAAAGGTGGGCCGAGGTGCGCGTTTGACTTCCCGTCATCTGGGCCCCTCACAGGAAATTGTGGGCGGGAGGGCGAAGGGCAGAGGATGGGGAGGGGGCTGGGGCTCAGTCTCCGCCTCCCCGCGCCGGGGTAAATAGTGGGGAGGGGGCACGCGGCTTGGTTACTAAGCAACGCAGATTCGCTTCCTGTCTGCAGCCGCTGGTGGCTGTGACCCGGGGACGGGCGGGGGGGAGGGGGTGTGGCGAGTGGGGGGCGGGGCGACCTCGGGGAAGGTCGAGGGCAGGACGCCTTGCTCCCCAGGACCCGCAGAGCCCGGGAAAGACCGAGGGGAGGCGGCGAGCGGCGCTGCCGCAGAGGAGGGCGCGGCGGTCGTCCGGAGGGAGGCGGAACCCGGGCGAGCCCTCCCGGGGGTTGCTTGCCCCGTTGCCGGAGTAACTGGGGAGCCAGACTCGGGAGCCGGATTCCCGAACTCTCGCGTCCGGCCAATCCGCTCCGGCGGACGTCCCTGACATCAGGGCCCTGGCAGCCAATGTGGAGGAGGCTTCACAGAGCGACAGGAAAGGGGAGAGGGGTGGGGGAGAGGGGAAGAAGGGAGGGAGAAGCTGCTCGGGACCCGCACGTGCACTCCCACACGCTCGCGCCCACCCTCCTCCCTCCTCCGCACGCGCCCGGGTGCCCCCCTGCGCCTGCGCGGCGAGTCGGCGCTCGCCGCCCACCGTCGTCCCCCCCTCCCCATTTGCGTCTGTGTTTGCAAACTAGTCCCGGGCTGCGCTCCCCAGCCCCCGGGACCCCGGCGTCTGGACGCGCCCGTCCTCTTCCGCTGGGTCTCGAACCAGTACTGCCCAGCCTTGCGCGGGAGGGGCCGGCTACCTGTTTCCCACCGACCCCCAGCTGCCGCCCCAGTCTCCCAGGTGGGCTGGGCGGAGCTGTGGTTTCCGGCCCCTTAGGCTCCGCTGCCGCCTTCCCGGGCTCTGGCTTAGGTTGGCTCCCCCAGGGGAACGGAGCGGGTGTCCGCGCCCCTTCCCGAGGCGTCACTCGCTCGGGCTCAGCTGCTGTGGGCGGCGGGGGAGGGCGCTGCGGGGAAGCCCCGGACGGCCCAGGTGACTTGCCGGGCCGTGACGCCCCTTCTTGGCGTGAATTCCTCCTCTTTGATGGCACACCCAAATCCTTCCCGTCCCTAACGTGTCTTCCCCGCTCGCCCTCGTGCTCTTTGCACGTCTCCGGGCTCCCTTCGGGCTGTCTGTCCCGGTCTCCACTCGTCCTTCTCGGCTTCTCCCGGTTATATAACTCTTCCTCTCGCCGTGTCCTGGTTTCAACTCCACAGACTCCGCCCTGGAGCAGCGCGGGGAGGGGCAGGAGAGTTGGGGACCCAGACAGGTTCCGGCTGGCGGCCGCCCGGGCTACGGGGGATCCCGCGGATGGGAGACGGAGCCCCGCGGGACCCGGTGCCCCCGCCCCCCACCCTTCGCCCCCCACCCGAGCTCTCGCCCCGGAGGGAGAAGGCACAGTATCTGCGAGAGGCGTGTCGGGACTCCGTCAGAAATGTGGGTTGGGAGGTCAGGGCTGGAGGCGGGGAGGAGGAGCCTTAGGAAGCCCGAGCCCCGGGGACTGGAGCCGTATTGGGGTAGAAGAGATAAAGGCAAGCCGCCCGGGTCCCTTCCCTCTCCTCCTTTTTGGGTTCCCAGAATTCCTAAGGCTATTTCCCAGGAAGCTTAGCCAAAGGCCCCTTTCCGCCCCTAGGGGTCAAAGGTCTGTGTTAGAGGTGGCCTGGGATGATGTCACCAGTGCACGTGCCCTGGGACGGTTGCCAGGCCGGAGGCCTCCTCCCCTTTCCATCCCGCCCCCCCACCCCAACCTCTGCCCCGAGTCCAGTTCCAACCCCGTGCCATCTTTTCCCCCTCGCCCTTCCCTTGGCCTTAGCAGCCTGCAGGTGGGAAACCCTGGCCTGGAGTTTTGTGAGGGGGAGGGGCCCGGGTGTGGTGTGGCCCAAAGACTTTGCCCCTTTTCTGGGCTACGGGAACCCTGGGGCACTTTGCCCCAAATTGGTACGGAGAGCTTTCCTTCCCAGCCCCCTCCTCCCCTTGGCAGAGCCTCCCAGCAGTCTTTCTACTTTCCCACCTGCTGCATTGCCAAGTGTCCTATTGCCCCCTCCCCATTTTGAGTTGAAGTGGGAGTGGTTGCAAGAGAGCTACTCTTGGGAGAGCTGTGTGTGGTGTGGGAGGGGTCACTGGACAGCAGCTCACCTCTGATCTTAATCAGTGACACCCCAACAGTGAGGAAAAGGGTCAGGAAACAGTATTAGACTGAAAAGTCAGGGTCTTTATTCTGTGTGGATGGGTGGATCACTTTCCTGAGGGAGGAGGACTCCGTTGATACCTGCGAGTGCCTTTCCCTATTGAGTTAAGTCCTGGGGTTTGCTTATGATAGTGGAAAAAATTCGTTTTTCTTCTAACGCACCTTAGAGCTCGGGCTGTCCGATCAGACCTGGATTCCGTTCCCAGCTCTGCCACTTAGTGGCTATAGGGACTTGGAAAGGTCACCACCTCCCAGAGCCTCATAGTCTTAATCTGGAAAATTTAAATATCAATACATACCTTCTGGGCTTGGGGGGGGGGGGGCGGGATGAGATAATTTATGCAAAGCACTTAGCACAGTGCCCCGCACAGAATAAATACTGAACGAATGAATGCTTGTTATGAAATGATCATTCTGGTTAAATTGTGATAGTTATTTTATTTTATTTTTTTTTACAATGATAGTTGTTCTGCCGGCTTCAGCCTGGCCAGGACCTCAGGAGTTGGTTAGGGAGGAGTGGAGAGTTGGTGTTAATTTGGCGGGTGGGAGGGAGGGGGCTAGGGATTAGCTTCCACTGAGCTGTGCACTTTATTTGATGAGGGCTTTAGTCAGATTTGTATTGCTTTCTTTAGGATTATTTTTCCCCCCTCTTGGAGAAGAAATAGCTCAGATTATTCCTCTGGCCGTGAAAATAAAATAATTGTATTGTGGTTCTTGATTTTTAAGCCAGACCCCAGTCCCCTCCCATGTTGTTCTCTGGAGCCTTTCAGTTTAGCAAAGGGACTCCACAGTTTTCTTTGCAGGGACCAGGCTTGGCTGAGGGGTGTGTAAAAGGTTGGGTGGGTGGGTGGAGAGAGAATAG